GTGAAGATTGAGAATTCCCTCGCATAAGTTAGGTTGGGGAATTTGAAGCCTCCACGGGGGCCATCCATTCTTTGTTAATACTTGAAGGAATATGATTTATTAAGATTTTTAGAGCCTTTTTGTCGAACATGGTAGAGCACATTGCTTAAACCTGCAATTGGCCGTAAGAGAGCATTCAGATTTTTGTCGAAGGAGGACGAAAAGTCATCACAAGAGGACAAAAAGTGAGTCATCGCGACGTACATCTTTGAGTAGTCAGTGTAATCGAATGAACGGAATGTGATCTGCAAAGGTAGATATCACTGCTCATTGAGCGGTTTAGAATATCAGAGTTCGATTTTATATTAGCATTATTATAGGCATCATATTTGTTTTGCTCTTTTTTTCATTATTGCTAGTGTGGGATTAATAAAGAGTCGTAACCAGTGATGCTCAAATTTGAAAATTTTGAATGTTGCTGCAGTATTTTTAGCATGTTTTGGCTTCGGAGCTGCGGTATTACCGCTTATAACACTTACATACAACGTTTGTTACGATGAACAAGTCATTGTAAAAAACTGTCTGTTCTAATTCACTAACAAAAAGGGTTCACCCATGAAATGTAGAAATTATTGTATTTAAAATTTGGATCGAAGATACACTCCACAAGAAAGTTCGTCAAGATGTGACGTTCTCCTTGCCATTCCATCTATAAATGTACGACCGACATTTCAATAACTTGATTATAAATTTACTTATATCTTACAAATTCATACATTTCTCTTATTCTACAGTTATAAATTAATTGATACATTGATGCAACCCAACTGTCATTGCATGTCGGTGAACTTATTTTGTTCCTTGCCATAGTTATATGAAATTCTTAAATCAAGATCATCAGGTTCACTCGTAACTAGTGTTGCGGGGATCGGGGAATTTCGGAGACCTTGTCCCTGACTTTTCCGTTCCCGCAGCACACTACTTGCAACCGGTCATATTTCTGTCACGAAGTAGTCACTCCTCACAAGGGAAGGTCACGAACTGAACCCAGCGTTTAGGGATGAGGTATACATCAAATTGTAGAACTCCTCGAGCTGATCACGAATATTTTAAAAAAATTTGCGAAATACAAAGGGGACGCGAGATATGGCAGGGAAAAGATTTTCAGTATATTGAAGTAATGTACTGATTTTCAGTCTGTTTGCAGCAGCTTGGCCTGGTGTGTAGTGCGCTAGCACCAAGTCTGGATGCCTGGTGGTTCTGTAACGCGCGATGGCGAAACTTTTTTTCTCGTACATTTCTAACATATTCAAACGACCACGATATTTTGCTTCACACCCCACAGCTTTTTAATGTTCCTATGCAAATTTTATCTACACTTTGACCATTGCCAGTATCCGTTTTGTTCGGTACATAGAATTTGTTTTTGATGTAGAATAAGGTGAATTCTCTTGGTTCAATCCTCTGCATTTTTATAACGTACGTTAATGTTTGTAATAAAATTGTGCTTTACTTTATCTTTGATGGTTGGTTCATTCTTGATGGATGCTATTGTTTTATCAACCAACTGGATTTTTTAATCAGCCCGATGCTTAAATGTCTGATTAAGAATTCACTTGTTGTAGAAGGCAGCGTATGCAAGACATCATATAAAGAGGAAGCCAAAACGTTCAATTCTTGTTTGAAACATGCCTCTTGGCAGAAAATAGTTTCATACACTTCATTCGCTCAAGAACTAGCGAACTTAAGCCGAAAATATGCTCAAAATGGCTTTTCAAAATGCTTTTGACGATCACAAGCGCTAAATCTGTTATTTGGCAGCTATAAGTCAATACGAAATCCAATTATTTATGAGCCAAAGAAGTATCAGTTTAAGCCTACGCTTAAGTCTCTACAAGCTTGGAACTGACAAAAACTCAAGCTTTTGAAGATGTCATATTGTCCATGCAAAGAATGTTTGATTCGAAAAAGCATCTGCACATAAGTAACTATCCCAAACAACTCGGACATATAATTGGGAACTGGTAAAATCGCTAAACACCACATCAAACAAGCCTTTATACTCCATAAATTCAGCGCAACAATAGCTGAATAATTTTTGAAGGATGTCAAGTAAAAAACGAATAATAATAAGTTCTGGCATGAATAAATAAATGAAAGTGAAAACGGATAATTTAAAGTAACGTTCAAATTGTAAAGCGTGTCCGTAAATAAAAATTAAATTCAACACAACTAAAGTAGAACACTTCGAGAGTAATTTTGACGACAATGATAATAATGATAATCACAATAATAATAAAATGATAATGACAACAACAAGTAGTAATAATAGTAATACAATTATGATGACAATAATAATAATATTCACTGATAACGATGATCAGATTACAATGAACATAAGTAATGCTAAAACTGATTAAACCCATGGTTATATGCAAGATCGGTTCGAAACAGATTGCAATTAAAAACAATAATTGCAAGATTATACAAGCAGTGATGATAATAATAACAATAACAATATCATTAATTTTAGCATCGATACTAAAACTTATATGACCGTTAATTTACTATTTATTAATGGTGACTTGGGTAAAGACATTTAGGGGCGACCCTTTACAACAATCACAGTAACATTATGATCTTAAAGTGTCCTTGATCTTGTTCACTTCCAGTTCTGTTGTTCAATAATTTTCATTAGAAATTCAACGTTTGTCCCGTCCTTTTCAAGTGTGTTATCTAAGGAGCAGTGATGGAGATAGAGCTACGGAAGCTATTCAACGCCTTCTTACAAACTGTATTTCAAGGATTAGGTGTTGTTATAAAGGGCAGTTGATTATTGATGGAAAAGATCAAACAATTCCAGACTTGCCAGCAATAGTGTCTTAACCAGATAAGGAAAGTGCTGCAAGATCTTATCTCGGAAATGTAGTATGACCAGACCGGAGACCAACGTACCAAGATGAAGACCATAACAAAAGCTATTATTAGTTCCGTGCTCACGATTAATAAAAACGTTGTTGATGAAGATACCGAATTCACATGCCTTGGTCAGACAATATCAATGAAGAGGGAACTGAAGTGAGGAGAATAAAAATTTGATGGAAATCGTTCTTTGCATACAAAGAATTGTTCACTGATAAAAAAGTCGGAAGTGTTTTTAAACAATATCGGTAAGATGAATACGTGCTAGCGGTGATATTGTATAAATGGATGGTAACAAAGAGAATAGAAAATATGATAGGGGTGCACAAGAAAAGATAGTAGGGGTAAGATTATGGGAAAACAAAATAAATTAACGGCTAAATGGGTAACAAAGGCTAGATTGCAAAATGCGCGAGAGAGAAGAAAATTGAATGGACAAAGAAATTGGACGGAGGTATACAAAACGATAATCCAGGATTGAGATAAAGGGTTGCGGCCGCCCAAAAATGAGATAGCCAGAGCTCATATGCAAGATTATGGGTCAAGTAACACGAGCATTAATTAAGAGAGTAAATAAATAAATAAAATGGAGTGTTCGTTTCTGTATCACCTTGAGCTCAGCCTACGATTCCGTCATAATTTGATTCATTGTCCAGGAAACGTGTCATTTTGAGTTTGAAAGATGAACGAAGGTCCCAGAAGGTAACAGAATGGTTGTGACGTTAAAAATATCTAGTGTTTGCTAAAAGCTCTTGAATGGAGAGCTAAAGATGTTGACGTTGCAAAATGCACAAGTCGTCTGTCCTCAGTTCGAGTCTTTTCTTCCGGATCTGTGTAGTGCTCCTCATGATCTATACAACCTAGTAATTCGTCCATATTAAAAGAAAATAGTCAAGATGAGCACGGAATTTATTTGGATCTTAGCTCTAGGCTCTTCATGAATATCTTTGCAAGTTATCAAGCACTGTCACTTAACTAGATTTCCAGCCAATGTTTCGGATATTCTACAGTACCCACTTCGCTTTCAACTGGAAATTTAAGAAAATCTCTACCAACCGAAATGCCGTCTTAGAAAAATCTTCAACGTAACAAGTGATGTTTATTCGATAATCAAACCCGAACAAAGCGCCAAATTCCGACAACTTACGGTAGTGCACTAGAGCGAACTGCAGTGGCAGACTTTTTCAGCCCTTCATTGAACCATAACAAATCAGATGGCATGTAGAGCCATTACACACTTCCACTGCTTCGCACATGTAATTATCATTACCATCACCATTAATAATTATACTATTACAATTCACGATTAACAGTACATTGCAAAAAAGAAACGACGCTAAAGCAAATCATAATAATCGTTGCATTTAATAATATTTTTGAAATGATTTCAAAAACAGCGCATATGAAATAAATCATTTGCAAATAACCTACGGCAGTGCGTAAATGAAAGAACTGATTAGAATTAACTGTTACAAGTATAACGAGAATAATTAATTATTAAATAAGATTAGTAAAATATAATACAATTTAATCATAATATACACATACCATTCTTATGGTAATTATCGTAGGTTCATTAAAGAGTTTACACGATATACGATAACATACGACATACCATTCTTGTTAGAGAGCTTATCAAAAGTTAAAGTTTAAAAAAACACTTTAAAAGTATCGAACAAAACAGTAAAACAAAAAATAAACAATTTTCAAAAAAAAGTTTTTAAAATAGATACAAAAGAGCAGCGCACATGAGAAAGATCAAGATTTCAATGTTAAAACACTGAAAAAGAACTTGCTTCAATTTTTGAAGTGAACGAAAATGAAATATTGGGAGTAGATCATTGATTTAACTGGATTTATCGATGATCCTTCAAGAGATTCATGCGAAAGAGATGTTAAATAACATGTAGATGAGTGCGTATTATATGATAGATAAAAAGGCATATTTAAAATTGACTTTTCAATTTAAAGAAAAAGGTTCTACTGTCTCCAAAAAATGTTTAAGAACATTTGAGTAGATGGGCAATATGATGGTTAAGAATTGCTTGGAAAATGGAAACGAGGTTATCTGATGAAGGACAGATGCTGCTTACTGAACGTTATACGAAAAAAAATGGTTTACATTGTTGCATGTGCACCTGCATTGGATGTGATGCGCAAGATGAAGAATGACTGCTGCTTGAAGGAGTTATCGATGGCGATTTAGATGAGTGACACTGTTGTGGAAAGCCGAATGTGTATGGATCGGTGGCATCACTGGATCGTGAACAGCAAGAGCTTGAATGGTGACGAGCGTGCAACAACGACACTTCCGACAACATATTGTCATCCTCGTCTCGTTCTTCGTAATCATATATCGAAGTCTGTCGTTCCAGTATAGGAGGACTTTCGTAGCCATCACTCGCTTCTTCTTCAACACCATTAACACTCAAGTTTGTAACATTATCAGTGATTTGTAAATTTGTTATCACGCTCATTCTTGTAGATGTCGCACCATTCTCATTGTCCATTTCACTGAACGATGAACCGTCAACTGAATGAGCTGAATTATGATCTGAATTTACTTGACTGCTTGACATTCTGAAGGAGAGTGATGCTGATGACGATGCTCGTTCACCGAAATTCTCTACGTTGGCCCCTTTTTCTTCTAAATTATCATCATCATGAGTGTCGCTGACAACGTTATGAGCTGGAAACCAACGATTATCATGACGATTGCAGATTTCGATTCGTTCATGATCATGAAACAATTCATCCTTCAACAATTCTTCTTCTTCGGCATTTTTTTCAAGCAAGCATTTCTCACTGGCGTCTGTGGTATCCGTCTTATTCTTATTCTTACCATACCAACCATCCAAACAGCAATAACTATTTCTATCCAAATCCTTCCTCCTCTTTACATATCCACCCTGATGACCATCATTAGTATCCTTATCACTATTCGTTTCATCCACATTCGCTTCACTGAACCGTTTCATAACCGTACTACCACTCTCTTCGCTAATCAACATTGATCTCCTCGTGCTGCTATTAACTTTATCAGCCACTAATTTCAGTTGTTCAGTATCCGTTATTTGACAACGGTTATGCTCATTCAATGAACTGTCATTATTACTATCAATATTCTTACTGTTACAATCACTATAACTGGCATCAGTGGTCGATTTTGCTGCCACCATTACTTTGTCATTCATCTTGCCACTCCGCTCTCCATTTGTGTTTTTATTTCTTTCGCTTGTCAATGCATCCCTCCTTTTCCGCGACTTTACAGCAACCATTTGATTCGTTTTTGTCACTGAAATTCACGTCAGTGATCGAATGATTACATCTTCTTCTTATTATTAATGTTTATCCACTATCGACGTTACACATAAATGAATTTTGTTGATGAAAAGTTGAAATTAAATGACATTAAAAAACCTGTAAATGAACGACGCTTCTTCATTGAATCAGTGTAACTATTTGTAAGTGATCTTTTACGCGTACTGGAACACTGTGTCGGTAATCTAGTTTTGTACCGTCTGGACGAAGCACTCTCTGAATAATTATTCACACGTTCCCGCCTCCATTCTGTTTCTCTTAGCACATAACTACAGCCTTCTTGTTTCTCACCATTTTTCATCTGTTCATTTCTACGCTTTCTATGTTTGAATGCGCCTTCACTGCTTCTGTAATAGCATCCATGTTTATTGAATACAGTCATATGGTACTAATGAATCAATTTAATAATTAATATACCGTTCACAAGTGTAGCATTCACAACGTTCGTTGTTATCACCAAAAAAGTTATCTCCATAAAAACAAGTGATCTCTTCATCGATCGCAATATCTCGCAATACCTGCAAAGACTGATTTCACAAGCATCATGAATCGAATAATCGGTGTGGGGATAGAGCACGGGATGGAATGTGCGTGTAACGCTAATTGAAAGATTGACACAGAGGAAAATGGGAGCGGTGAGGTGGTGTGAACTGAACAACAGACATCAAACTGAAGAATCAACACGGAGTCATGATCTTACGCCAGCCAGTGATAAATAATACAAACCTGTATAACTGCAGTGGGTCCATTCGCAACAAACTTGCAGTTCGGTCGACAGTCATGATTAATGTAAGCACCAGGTCCTAACCATAACTGAGCTCGTTTCTTTCTAAACATAGAAGTCAACAGGTTATAAACAGACCATTATTTTTCCGAAACGTTTCTCATCTNCTTATTGTTCACTACTTTTATCAGCTTTCATTAGAATTATTAGTACTTATGAATAGTTGTAGGTAATGATAGTATTATAGCGGTGAAAGCATTATTAATCATATTATAATTGCATTATTATTATTATTATTATTATTATTATTATTATTATTATTGTGCGTGTAACGCTAATTGAAAGATTGATAATATTAATATATTATTACTTACATTAGTATTATTATCATCAAACATAACTATTACCATTTATAAGATGTGTTATTATTATCAGTATTCCATTTATTACTATTGTTATCATTATTATTACTATTATTGTTATTATTTACACACCACGGCAATGTAAAATGTAATTTGTAACAACGCACTACTAACCTCGTGCTATACATAACTGAAAAATCATTGATATCTTTCAATAATAGTTCAAATTCCTCTTCAGCACTCAGATCACCAATAACACCAACTAAACTTTCGATTACTTCACCTTTCCGCCTGGAATATTCAACATCGTTGCATTCAAATCATAAATGAAATTAAAAAGATTACCCACCACGGTTTAGTTACGACCAACATGGCTCCATGTCTTTTTTCGGCTTTATACCTTGTGCATCGACGAATAGTAAAGCCCGAATTCGCATCAAAAATGCGTAAAAAACGAAGCAACTAAAAAAAATAGAATATATTATTGAGCATCATTACCAACTTATTTAATTATCATCATTGTTGTAAGAGCTCTGTTTCTTTGATTGCTATACGCAATCTCTGAATTTTACCGATTGCTGAGCACTTGTTCTTCGGGATGAATATTGGGGCTAAATTGTAGGGCACATGTTGTACTCTGAGGAAAGAGAAGAGGATGAGAAAAAAAATATTCAATAACTCAACATTCCCCAAAAAGCTTAAAAAAATAATAAAACAAACATGATCTCGGCAATTGATCTGCTGCCTTAAATTCATTTTTCGTATAAAACTATAAATAAAATTTGTTCTGAATAACTTCATCATTGTTCCACTCAAATTTTGTTTTTCCACATATGTTTTTAAAATATTCTTTAGTTTCCGTCGGTCGCTAACATTTGGTGGACGATATCTAAAAGTAAGTAGTATTAATATTAGTACGACCGTTATTACAATAAAACTGAATTGGTTTACATAAATATGTTAACAATGAGATGTAGATGTTGTTTTAAGCCAATTCATAAACGAGTAACAATCAGTAGTTGAACAAATACCACAAGGGACTGATTCAAGTTGTGGTAGTATACGATATGATCGGAAGAGTGGATAAATGAAGAAAGAAATAAATAAATACGTTTGTATCATCATTTTGTGTGTCTTAAATCCGAGCATCGTGTCAACAATTACACTCGTTGCTAGATCATCATTCATACACAATTCTTTAGCATTCATACAATGATGCCCAGATATCGAGAACGAATCCGGTAAACGCAACAACTTTGCGAATAATTGCACCTCATCGTCTTCATTCATCGTATACTATTAACGATTTTCTCAGTGCATTAATACCACTGTTAACGCTTTATTCTCTCAATTTTTTGAATTATTATTCAATTTTAAGAATGTTCTATCCTGCAAACAACAATGAAATGACAGCAATTACCAAACAAATATGAATGAATATAGTGACGAATAATACCTAGAATGCTTTAGGAAATTTAGAATTTCTTTCAATGCAGCCTTACAAAAAACGACACAGCGGTACTAATAACAACAATCTCGAAGAAACGATTAATGATAACAACCAATAAATTTCGCATGTTCGTCAGAATTCAAATAAAATTCATTATGTACGCTTGGTCTACATGATACAATAGTTCGTTCCGCCATTATCATGATAAGTTCGCAGTCACAATTCTAGGTCATCTCAATGCAGACCACACACGCAAAAAACTATGCAATTGTCAGTGGTTTGAGGTTTCTTAAAGGAGTCTATTTTTATGAATTGGATTTATTTTAACGATTGATTCATGCATATTTAGTGAACAATGCTATATATGGACGTCATTTTGACCATATTGACACTTATCACGTCAACGGTTTTCACAAATTTCAGTTCGGCAAAATTTTCGCATTAAAATCATGCATGTAAATCTTAGGAATTGAGAGAAAATGATAAAGAAATATCATAAGAAATAAAGACCGCATATGGTTGACAGTATCGAGTAATATGCAAAAAAACAGTTAAACTATTTAGCACTGATTTTTGTTGGCTGAAGTTTTAAAAAACTGATTCCTTATTATTTTCGCATTTTGACACAATGACCGGATTATCGATTGTCGTTGGCATCAGTTTTCCGTGGTGATTCCAAATATGCAATCTGTATCATCGCTCATTTATGGCACATTTTAAGTTTCATGCTTACAACCATGAATATACGATGCTTAGAATTCCACAATGTCTAATAACTGTATTTTACGATATCTGATTGTCCAACAACAAATATAACTAGTATATTTGTTTATTTTCAACAATTCTTGAAATAAACGACAATAAAAACATCAACAGACATCCTGATATTACATCACTAATGACAGAAGTGCGGAAAAATAAAAAAACAAAGTTTCTGATAAGTTGTAGTAAATCAACGAGCAATGATAAGGATTATATATTTGAATCAACATAGAATGCGGGTTTATGAATGATTTAAAGATCTAGTTAATGACAAGTTTCGTAAAATTTTCATAATACGAACTTTATGGTTTGGGCACTCTTGTGAGCATTAAGGTAAACATTTTGAACGTCTTTATTATGAACTATTATCAAACAATAAACAAATGAATCATATCATTACAACAAAATGTGATTTTTTACATAAAATTGAAGTGAGCCTTAATATATTCCAGAAGTACACATTATACACATATGCGCTATGCCAGTGCACAACTGCATGCATTTTCTTTGTCGTTACTGGGATTTTTTTCAGCCCATGCTACCTTTCATTGTATCGCACTCCTTTAGAAGAAATAAATCTTGCGTTTGAATCTAGTATGTTGTAAAGACTGCACTTCAAAAACTAGAGCACTTTCCTAATGATTTAAGTTGGAATAACAACACCAGAAAGGGGAATGAAAAAGCCGGTAGAAAAATCGTTGTGAAAACCAGAAGATTGAAGAGCGCAAAGCTCATCCCTAGTAACTGATAATGTAAGGGAAAAACGAATTTCCATTGAAATGAAATGAACACAATATTACTAAGCCAATGCCTATTGGTCATGTTTCGACCCACCAAGAAAATTCGCTATTATAAACTGTCTAACGTCAAAAAATCGCATTGTTGAGTGTGTATGTCAAAGAATGTCGACAAGTAATGAACTACGAGTTTACATCAGTGATTCTCAATTTTTTTTTTGACTCTCGCACCCCCTAGAAAATTTTACGATGCCCTTGCACTCCGTGCAACAATAGTTTATTTAAGAATGAAATGCGACTGAAAGAATTATTTCTAAAGTATGAACAGCATTCACAAGAAGTATGTCTTCGCCTACTTTAATGTATAACAAATAAAACCTTATTTCACACTCCTCACTCACCCGATCTCATCACATCCACTCTCGCACTCCCTCCCACCCCAGCTTCTCTTGCATTTTCTAGAATGCCATCTCGCACTCCTCGAGGATGCGTGCACCCCCGGTTGAGAATTCCAGTTTACATGAATTGAAGCTGAAGTGTTGACAATTCAGGGTGGCTGAAGTACGTGAGCATCAAAGTGATCTGATGGTAAGGTAAGTTTCGACTGATTGGTAGCTTCACCTTGACCCAAGGAGGTATTCCACACGAATAATTCACTGTTTGGCATGGAAGATGCATGTGGTCTCTTACAGCTATAAATATTCATCACAGTGGGACTGGATGATCAAGAAAACTAGATTTTCGAAAAAACTTCTCTTACACTACAAAAGAAATATTTTAGCATCTGTTTTCATCGCCCAACAGTGCCATTTTAAAATTCACCTCGTTTCCTTCTTCGAAATGCTTAGCAATTCGAATGCGAACATGCGCAGTACACATTCAATTGGTAAATGTTAATCGTAGCTGTCGGACAGTTGGTCAATACGAAAGAAGTGTCAACGTACAAAAAATGCTTTAATGTGCAAATAAAATAAATGATAAGTTGCTTCTTTTAATAATCCTATGCAAATAACTCCGTTTCTCAGGCTTGAATCAAAAATGAATTAAAATTCATTCTTTAAACGGAACAAGATTTAAAGTTCTGCCTCAAAACATATCGAATGGATTACAAATAAAATACTTTCATTCGCTATTTGATTATCAGTCGTTTTCAGCAGTTATTTTCAATAAAAAAAAACACTTCGCAACAATCCGATTGATATTAACAAAATACGAAAGATAATAAACAGTATCAAAAGCAGATTTATGGATAGATGAATAGCAATCAAATGTTCTAAAATCGTGCACAATTAATCCTGAAAGTATCGATCAAATCACTCAAATCTTAATATAACATCCAATTCTTTTTTTTCAATTTGCTTTTCACAGCTATGTAATGAATGAACACACTTGAAATAAACAAATAAATGTATAGGATAGGTAGATAACTGAATGAAAACCGAATTCAAAATTCAGTAAAACGTTCCATATTTCAAAAAGACTGTTGACTGTATAACTGGACGATCGTTGAAACGAATAAATAATGTAAATATAAATGAAGTCTATTGAAATCATACAGCAATACACATAATATATCATACTATATTATGGTTCTTGTATTATATAATGTTATATAAGAAATGAAACGATGACAACCTTAAATAGCCTATTTAAATTTCACTTTAAATTTATTTCATTGATTTAATTTTTTTCATTGCAGTATCAATTCATTTATATAATATAAAGAACTTTTACACATCTCGATGCAATTAATATTATTTCACCGATCTCTAACTTACTTCCTGAATTTTACACTCAGTTAGTATATTTATTTGCAATCGGGTGAAATGAACAAGTTTCAAGGTTTCATCCCATTACCTATTGATTATTATTATTATTGTTATTGCGAGATGCTTGAATTTTATCAAGAAAACATTGAAAGCGGATGTTTTCAAATGGATAATTGAGAGAGCATCAAGAAAGTGAGTCTATCAAAAAATGTCTGAAAGTGAGATGTTATTTTGAATGTAAATGAGACATAAACGAATGAATGAATAATTATATGTATAAATAAATAATTTCAAATAAAATAAATAAATCAAGGTGTGGCGGATATACGAATATAACGAACGCATAATGAATTGAAGTGTGCAATGATGAATCATAGAAGGATGGATGCATCTGTGAAGGTGTATGTACGTCATAGCAGACTTCCGTACACGTAACTGTTTAAATTAAGTGGCGAATCGAATGTAAACTTCTAAAGCCGCTTTTTGAGTTCAGTTAAAGTCAGCAAAATCAAGGCGATTAATCGAGTGGAGCTAAATTCGAAAGGACTAAACAGTATTGTTGAAGGGTAGTCTGACAACAAAAATAAGAATCTGAATTCAAAACAGAATGAGAAAAATCAATTCGTGGATTGACTGAGTGACTGATTAATTATTTATGAACTGATTGATCGTGATCAGAAAGAAGCGACCATAATTATTGGACAGTGGAAAGGTTTTCGTTGATCACACATGAAACACTTTTAGATGCTTCAATTTCAACAACAATCAGAAGGTGTTAGCGTATTTTATAAAATTCATAGAATAGATAGTCAAAGAGACGATTAAAAATGACGAAACAAATGAATGAGATGAGATGAGCCAATCAAATCAAATTCGAAATGTAACAATCGAACAAATGAATAAATTCTATACATCTAATTCGTTTATTTTTAATTCATTTATTATATCTTTTGTTTCATATTTCGTATCAAAAAATTAAATTACGTCATTCAATATTCTTTTTTTCCATTTATATTTGCATATTTATGCGAATCTTCCGTTCAAATTCATCAGTGCTACACACTGAATTCAACCAGCGGCATGGTGACTAAGTCTAACCGAAGTCTATGTCTGCTGTCATTTCTTGCGCTATTTACAGCTGATGGATGGATGACAATCCAAAAAGTGATAAAATTGCTCCGTGAACACTTAGATGCAGCATCCCCATATCTTATCAACTGCTACTGCAATTCCTGTTCTCATTTTTCCGTTCGTCACCCCATTTCAACTTTAATTCATACTGCATTATCGTGAAACATGCAATCCTCCACCAATATATCTCTGCTCCGTCTTTTATCAAAACATTCAGATAGTTGAAGGCATGTAACCAAGCAAAAAATCTTTTCATACCATCAATATTCATTTACTTTTATCAATTTCAATTTTATGACAATTCACTGAATTTGCGAAAGCTATGAATTAATCTACAACTGGACATTCGGCTTGATAACATGCCTTTTAGTCTTATGGCTTAGGCTAAGACCAAAGATGCACTGAATGGAATTGACAGCTTACTAGCGCGAATGTGTATAGACCAAATGTTCAGGTGGCGATATTCTTCATGTAAAAAACCACATGATTTGGCCATTCTTAGTTTAACTATTCTTACTTTTTATAAATTCCACTCCTGACAGCATGTAATTCAGCTATTTCTCGATACTAAAGGCATCAATCACCTCTACGCGAGACTGATTTTGCGTTTTCAGGTATAAATCTTAAAAGTTCATAAAAATGCTCAAGCAAAATTCCCAAATCACGTTGTTTAGTGTAACATTTGTATGCATTTTATCAGTCTCACAAGCCATTCATTTGAGGAATCAATGTAAGTTGATTGTAACTGAATAATATTTTCCCCATTGCCTTCGATATTCATCTACATTATTCATTTGTCTATTTAGTCACTCTCCGTGTACTTGAAAGCGACTGCAATTCATCTAACTTTCAGCGAAAACTCTCCTCTCAAGTCTAAAAATGGCAAGTTGCGATGAACTCAATTCGAAATGTCGTTCATTTTATGAGTCACACAAATGTGCTGATATTAATGCGAGGTAGGTTTGCTGAAAGCATTCCATAGAAATTGATCAATAATTTCAATGACGAGGGAGAAGTGAACGCTGCAAGAGCTGATTTCAAAACTGTCACTCAGATTAGCTTTTTTCCAACTTTTCGTATCACCGCCACGACTCGGGCTTTCTTTTCCCCGTCACTTCCTTTTTGGGCTGCTTTCAACCACATTTGTCCCTTTGAAATGAATATTTGAAGGTTCATAGGTTTGTTGCTTCTAACAATGAAATTGCTGAAATATTTTAGTTCCGCTTTCTGCCTAATAAATTTTGAGATGTCCACCGAAGATATCGATTTATTACCAGACTCTTTCCTAAACCTGCTCAATAAACACCCTTACTGGTTGCCGGGCACCCCGTTAAAGTGTCATCATTCGCTTCCGGATTCACTCATTTAGGTTATAACTTAATTTGAATATTTGTTTTACTTGAAAAGACGATCAGATTTCAGATGTTTGGAGGGGTCAAAAATTTGTGCAATAACCTATATGTTATGTATGGATACTACTGGCGAAAGGGAGCTATGTTTTAAAAGTACAAAGCAATGCTTTTTGAAGATGATTGAACAGGTGATTTCAACTGAGTGAGGAGCTAATTTTGATTGATTCATGAAGATATTTGAATAAAAGTATTCGACTGGTGTGCCTTGAAACACTCGAAACAAGTGAATTTCACAGAGACAAAAACGTCATATATCATATCCACCATAAAGCGTACACAATGTACGGAGGGATGATGAGGAATGATCTGGATCTGAGATGAGTGAATTGATTTGAAGATTGTCTCGTAGACACTTTCTTTCTGGATGACTTTGGGTTTGAAAGGAGGATCAATAATCTGTTATTGTAGTGGCTTTGTAAGATGACATTGGTGTGCTGGTGAATAGAACATAGATTTACTTAACAGCAATAAGTTATATAAAACGATACAAAACAATAAACATTAACAGTTTGCAGATGAATTGAAAACGTTGAACGGTACGCTGATCAATCTTAAATACAAGCACAAAACAATAAGCGAATAAAGGCACGACGAAGACACATCGGAAAGTGTTTAATACCAGTGTATGTTATTCAGGACTGCTGAAATTCAATACTTCCTTTAACTCTTGAACATTTCTTCAAAATGGTACCACTGAAACATCAAAATGTTATATCAAACAAATTCAGATGAAAAACAATCGTATTGTAGTGTTTTATTGCGCCAACTCATACTAATATCACATAATCCGCAATGATATGAATTGTATACACATGGAGATAAAACGCAAATAAATATGAAATCACAGGTGAAAGGCAAAATCATTGCTTCACGGAGACCATCCGCAATCGTAAGCATAAACAAAACAAATTCAAATTA